CCATGCAAAATTTTACAAACCTCTACTGTGTCCCATCCCCCATTGCCTTTTTTCTAAAGTGAAAACCCCAGACTCTTTAGCATAGGAAAGGTGTTCTAAGCTCTAAATCATTACATATTTCCAAACCTGAACAATTCACAAGGATAGATAATAGATCCTTGACCTTGGCAAGACATTTCAGTTGGGATGAGGATTTTCTGCTCTGTGTAGAAATATAACAATCCCCCCCTATCTAAGTGAGGATGTGTGGCTAAAGTCCTGCCTTCCCAAGAACCCCAGTGCAATTCGGAACATTGAAATTTATTCTGTGGTTTGATTTCTTGTCTATTCTCACTCAGTAGATTTCTGTGTTGATTGGCATGTCAGTGAAATGCTTTTGCTGATGTATGATTTGGTTACTTGGTTTGCTGATGCTGGCTCTTTTATGGGGCTGAGAGTTTTTGCCAATGGGTAGTTGTTTTTCTCTTTCTTATTCTTTTTGTTGGATTAATTGTATTGCTGGTTGGCATGTTTGCTGATTCATTTTCTCTGGTATGGTTGCTTGGAAGCTGAAGTGTACAGTAGATACACTCAAGGAGGACAAGGCTATCCAAAGCCATGATTTCTAAATAGAACCTGCCTTGCTGCTGAATAAAAGGTGTTGGGGGGACAAGAAGGGAGAATTATTGCATGTGAGCTTCCTGGAGGCACTTGAGTGACCATCACAGGAAACTGATGCTGCATCTGATGGACCTTACGTTTGATCCACCAGGGCTCTTCTTACATTCGTATGTGGTTATTGGCTGGATTCTCTCATTTTAGTTATCCTTTTCTCCTAGCTGTTACTAGGGGCAAGGGTGAGGAAGGAGTTAAGAAGTAGGGCTCAGTCTTTATCCAGTCCCCCTCACACAGACCACTGGCTTTAAAGTGGGGTTGGACAGATTCATGGAGGAGAGGTCCATCAATGTCTACTATCCATGGTGAGTAAAAGAAACCTCTGTATTCAGAGGCAGTAAACCTCTGAAACTCAATGCTAGGAGGCAACATCAGGGGAAGGTGCCCCATTTGTTAGCTCTCCAGGGCAACTGGTTGGCCACTGTGTGAAACTAGATGCCCACCTACATGGACCACTGGTCTGATCCAGCAGGGCTCATCTTATGTTCTTAATCCAGAACATGATGATACTGGCTTTCCCCCCACATGGATGATAAGCCCCTGCAGTAAATGGGAGCATCCAGACAATGCTGTGCCCAATGTAAGCACAATTAATCTGGCTCCTTTTCCCCTTTGAGCCAAAGAAAATAAAAACCTCATGTGTCCTAGATCAAAGGAAAAACTGTGGGGTTGCAGTGGGTGGAGCATCCATCTGGACACTTTACCTATAGACACTAGATCCTGTTCACAAGTTACCGTGAACCCATGTGCAATGTGTGCTGGATTTTTTTTCTTTATAACATGTTGCTGAGTAATTTTCACATAACATTGAATGCATGTACAGATGAACATGTGATTTAAACCCCACATTGGTCCAGATACTGGTCCCCAGTTGCAAAGTGGACATGAATTGGCTCTTTCTTACAAAAGGCATACACGCACAGAAGCAGGTTGTAATGTGTTCACTGTAACAAGTGAATAGGGCTTAGGATGGGGTATTAAGCTTCACTTTCAAAATGATGCACTGGGAAAGGGGGAGGCTCAAGTCAAGGGATACAGGATAAAACTTAATGACTTTTGTTTTTCAGAGGATGGAAGGTTATAGATGAGGCTTCCCATTCCAACTGAGAGTGTATTTTAATAAAGCTCAAAAGCACTGGAAGGAGTTTATTAAATACTGAGACAAATAATTCAGGAGTCCTCTTTTATATGGGGTTGCTTGTCAAATATTGTTATTGAGCTATTTGTGTTGATTTCCTTTTTATCTTGTAACTGATCAGTGTGCAGTGTTATAGCATTTTTAAATGACAGTGAAAGTTTATTCAAGCACTGAGAGAGCAGCCCTAAGCGGGTCTACTCAGAATCCCACTCAGGTCTATTCAATGGGGCTTACTCCCAAGAAAGTGTGCACTGCTGACTCTGAGAGGGAGGGGCATGGAGACAGTTGTGAAGACCAAACTTTAATGCTTTTATAGTGCAATCATACAGAGAGTCAAACCTTTCTAAATCCACTTAAGACTGCACTGCTGACCTTGCAAAACTGCTACTGTAATGTCATGGTCTATATTTGTTCTGTGCTATCTGAAGTGAGAAACCAGGATCTCTAAGATCATGACTCTATGTATTCTCAGAGGGAAAATATACTCTGCACATGTTCAGAGAACCCTCTACTTAGGAGCATTTTCATAAAACAAGAGCTGATTGGGGAGGGGTAGCATAGCACATGTTCAGAGACACATCCATTTTTTAGCAACACTGTGCCAATTTTTCTAGAATGTCCGGTAAATTTGATGCGAAAATTATACTCAATCATCGTAATCTCTGCCAGTGAATATTTGGAGTTATGCTGCCATCCTATGTTCACATGCAAGCATAGCTGAAAAGCTGTTGCAAAGAGGGACAGAGGGTGGTTCCGCATGAGGGACTTGCCTCCAGTTCTCTGCGGGTTGAATTGTGCTGGGTCTGATAATGGGTTCCGCATTATTGCATCAGCCACACAGCCAGCTGGCTCCTGCTTTGGGTCAGGAATTCCACATTTGTCCATGTTTTGGCCACTCCCCCATGCCCTTAACTGCATTGCCCCCTCCCCCAAAAAAACCTGATAGGGAATCGCTAACACATCACGGACATGTGCGGGAGAACACCATGGCGATTGGTCATCAGAGCTGTCGCCACTGTTTGAATCAAAATTTAAAACCTTAGCCCACCAAGGAGTGTCCTATTATTGTGCCGCCTTTGATACCACATGCGCAGCCATGATGGATCCCAGGTGACTGAGAACACTTGGATCCATCCTTTCCCTGTTTGTGGGTGCGCACACCTTACATGCTGATATCCACCCACCACCCTGTAAAGATCATGAGAAATCTTTCAGGCATCCAGCACATATGCTGCGATAGGAAATCACGACACCAAATCATTCTCAGAATGCTGCAATGCAATGAGTTTATTTTTAACTTTAAAAATTGTGATTTTGTAACACTAGTAAAATCTTAACAGCAATGTCTGCTACCACGACACACGCAGGCATTGTGGTTTATGAAAATTCAATAGCCATAGTCATCATTGTGCTGTAACACAATAACCGAAAACTTAAAGAAAATGGACACCACAAGGGGAATGTGGTGGGTGGTGGTCTCAGGGAGGAGAGGGGTTATGGGCATGCATATTGGATGCAAACCATGAGAGGGAGGCACAAAAAGGCGAGAATTGTGAGGGAAGGTTTGCAGCGAATCCATGGATTCCACACCCTGAAACCTCAACCTCAGCGCCAAAGGGGTGAAAAAAGTTCTGTGGAAATCCAGCTGCCGGAAAATTCAAGGGAAAACAGGTAAGATGTGGGTCAAATGTCCACTCTGGATTTCCATGTGTGGAATCAAGCAGCAAGTCCGATTGAGTGTGGAGGCTGACGCCGGGCCAAACGGTAGTGTGGAATTGCCCAGAATGTTAAAAGGGTGACAATTTTTGAGCAGAATTTTTTTGTAATCCTCCTACAACTCCTGACCTACAGTAATACAGCATCTAATTTGAACATGGACGCTGGTACCAGAGCTTGCAACAAACCCTGCTTTGGACCAGGAAACAGGATATATCATCTTGAAGGGGAGAGTCCTGTGAATCGGGGGTGTACGCTGTGTGGTGGACCAGACCTTATTTTGGGGTTCAGAGCCTTCATACTCTCCTCAGTGTTTTTGGATGAATTCATGAATAAGTCACAAATAAGGAATGAATAAGGATCTGGGAATAAGGAACCAACTTCGGCATCCTCGTGCCAACTACCTAGAGGGGAAAAAATGTCCTGTCCCTTTAACAGAGGATCTGAGCCTGCCCCTTTCCAAACTCTAAGCCTCTTTTAAAAGGGCAAGACTCCCCCCCCCCATCTCTGTGACCTTAAGGGGCAGTGCCTAGTTTCCAAAGTGGGTTTTTGGAATCCAGGAGAAACCAGAAACAGTGGGATTGCAATTTGGTGATTTGACTTCTCTGATTGCTACTTTTCCCTACTCTCCCCCCCCCCTCTGTAGTATGAACAAGTTGATTAACTTCATGTCAAGCTGGGATTCCTGGGAATTTAAACGCTGGTCAGGTTCCTCATCTAGCAGTCTAGCCTCTACTGCAAGCCCACAATGTGGGAGCTCATGGGCCAAAGATTACAGCAGCTCTGTCCCCACCCCACTTACCTGTACTATATACAAATCTATCCTCTAACCTCTGCTGCAAGCCCACAATGTGGGAGCTCATGGGCCAAAGATTACAGCCGCTCTGCCCCCCATTTATTTGTAACCACACTTTTCCTGCAAAGAGTTAAGAGCAGTGTTCCCTCTAAACTGACAAATTTAATGCCAGTAGCTCACAAAGTAGATTTTTTGCTCACAAGACGCCACAAATTAGAGGGAGCACTGGTTAAGAGGAGTGTGTATAGTTGTACACTTATTTATTTTAGTTGCACAACGACCTACTCCTAGAGTACCAGCAATATAGTATTTAATATTTTTAATATTACTTTTAAAAAATATTTTAAGTGTATTATTTAACTGCTGTACACCGTCCTGAGCCCATCTGGGGAGGGCGGTATATAAATCTAATAAAATAAATAAATAATAAACTCTGTGAGGTAGGTTAGAGTGCGTATGTATGAATGGCCTAAGATCACCGACAACACTTCCAAGGCGGAGAAGAGATTCGAACGTCCACTTCGGAGATCCTAGCATGACATCCTTTCCGCTACGCTACCTGGTTTGCCTTTCTCCGGTTTCCTTTCTCCTTCTCCCCACCCACTTTTAATACTTCACTGCAGCGCGACTGTGACGACAGACGCAGACCTTTCTCCCGCGCGCCTTCAATCACGGATTCACTTTCCCTGACGCCACACAGAGGGCGGAAGTAGCGCTCGCGAAAACAATAACGAGGATGGCGGCGGTTGAGGAGAACGAGGCCCCTTCGCCTGTAATGGTAAGAGGGGGGGACGAAGGACGCTTGTTATTAATTTCCATCGTTTGCCTTTTAATTCCTGTATAGCTGAACCTGGTTCTCCCAGATCCTAGTCTGTTACTCTATTGCACTATTTGCTTAAGTCTCCAAAATTGCTCGGGTTGGATTGTTTAAAATACGCCACAAGCAAAGCGTTCGATGGCGATCTAGATGTTTCTTTCTGCTCCCCTGCCCAATGAATTGGTTACATTTATGTGTCCCTGTCGCATTTTTATCTCTTCCCTATCCAACCAGGGAGTTCAGGGTGGCCTGAATGGATCTGTCTTCTTCCACTTGATTCTCACAGTAACCTTGTGGTTTAAGCCACATAATCCGACGGATTATGTGCTCCTGGGTTCCTGCGGGGGGGGGGGCTACATCTGTCTCCCCGGTAGTAGTCCAGGGCTCTGGCCACCGTACCACATTATGGGAGGGGGTGGAATTGTCCAACAAAGGACTGTCTCAGTGCTACAATTCCTGGGATTAGTGGCGCGGAAGCTGTGTCGCTCAGACTAGTTCAGTTGTCTAATGTCTGCATACCCCCAGAGAAGTCCTGTGTAAGCCTCTTCTCTTCTGTGAGGTTTCTGATTGTTGTTTGTCCGAGAATGCTTCTCTGGTTGTTGTAACACATATCCTCCTGCCTCTTCCACCCCTTACTGGATTGCTTTTTGTATTCTACAGAACTGTTAATGGGGGGGAGTGGCCAGAGATCATAAAGTAATTAAAGACTAGATTAATACTGGAGGGTGAGAAGTTGAAAAGGAGGGATGTAGGAATAGTTACAATGGGCTGTGAAGTGGGGTGGTGTACCTGTAGGATGGAGTTGATGGTGCACAGCTATTCACAGAAGCAGAGAATGCGACTGTATTAGGGGGGAAAAAACAGAGGAACAAGCTGTCAGAGTAATTGGTATGGCATGAAAGACTGAGGTGGGAAATAGCTCAGGAGTTGTAGGAGATAGTGTAGTAGCCTGGGTTGTAGAAAACATTGCCTCCCCACCCACACACACCGCAACCATCCAGGCTTTACTGCGATCTTTCCCAAAACTTTGGAGGAAAGCAGGTTCAAGAAAGATGGAGAAAAAGATGGGGAAACTCCTGAAGGTGCATGAATACTTTCTAATGCTAGGAAGCAGGAAAAATCCCAAAGCACTGGGAAGATAAAACATGCGGAAGCCATCATTATGGAGCCCCCCCCCCGGGAGGGGGGGGGGATGACTGCTGAAAATTCCCTCCCAAGTGATCCACCAGTTGGTTTGCCTTAGCAATGATAAGCAATGGTCAATCTCTGACTTCCCCCACCTATGAGGCTATAAATCGTTCCGGAGTACTCTAACTGTATGTGGCCCTTTGATCTACCTAACACTGGAGCCAATGAATAGCAAGTAACTTCCACTAACTGAACTATATCTCTGTTTCTACAATTGAAAAATGCCTGGAAAATGACTTTTCTTGCATAAGGAGGTTTCCTAAAGTTAAAGTGCTTCTGCCCTAAATCATTGGCTTAATAGAGTGCTTAGTAGTGCGAAACTAGCTTGCTGAAGGAGCCTGGTGCATCCATAGCTATCTCTCCTCTCTCCTTATATATAAAAGGGATTTGGAGTGGCTTTTGTCCTATGGGGTGGCGAGATTGCATGCACTCCCTGAGCCATTGGCCTGTCGGCTGCCAGTCAAAACTACTGGCGTTCCATTGGCTGGGGGGGGGAACAAGGCTAGCTGCCTTGGCCCGCGCGCCGCTTGAACAGGTGGTGAGCGGGTGATGGGGAGACGGACGAGGCTGGCGCATTGGACAGCCGAGCCTTTGCTCGGTCACCTTTTCCTCCTCAACCGCCGCCACTGCAGCGGGCGGGCGGGGAGGGAGGCCTACTTAGCCCCCACTCACCCAACGCTGTGCCTGGCCACGCAGAGGCCTAAAGCCGCCACCTACCTACCTTTCCCCCCTCAACTGCCGTGGTGGTCGGGGGGGGGAGCCTACTCAGGCCCCGGCTTGGCCTCCAGCTGCCCCCGGCCCACTTTCCCCCCCTCAACCATTATGGCTGGCAGGGGGGGAAGCCTGTTCAGCCCCCTCCTCGCCCGCCGCCAGACCCAGCCGCACACGGGCCTTCAGCCACCCCCACCCCACCTTCCCCCGTCAAGCGCTGTGGTGAACGCCGGCTGGGAGGCCTACTCAGGCCCCTGCTCACCCACCACTGCAGCGCCTGACCACACAGGGCCCTCCAGCCACCCCGACCCACCTTTCCCCCCTCTACTGCTGCGGTGGGGGCGCACCTACTTAGGCCCCCGTTTGCCCGCTGCCGCACCCAGCTGCATGGGGGCCTCCAGCCACCCCTGACCCACCTTTCCCCCTCGACCGCCCCAGGGAGTGGGGGGGGGGGGGCCCCTCCCTCCCTCTCTTCCATGCACCTCCTCCTCTTCTCTCTCTCCCTGTTTCACTTCCTTCCTTTGCCGTCTGACCCTCCCTCCCCCTTCTTCTTCTACCCTTCCTTCATCCCTATCTCTTTGCATTCCTTCCCCTCCCTACTTCCTTCCTCCCCATCTCTATGCATTCTTCCTCCCTCCCTATCTCTTTCCATTCCTTACCTACCTACCTCCTTCTCCCTTCCACCCCATCCCTTTCGATTCTTTCCCTCCCTCTTTCCTCATTTTCCCCTCCCTCCTCCTTTCTTTCTTCCTTTCTCTCTTTCTCTCTCTCTCTCAACTTCCTTCCTTCCTTCTAGAGCTTGTTGTCTTCCCTCTACAACGGGCCTTCTTCCTAGTACTTTATAAAACAGAACTTCAGAGTAGATGTCTCCTCACATAGCATCTGTGGTTGAATTCCAGGCCATCACTGGTATCTCAGAGGATCCTGCTTCCATTGCAGCAGAAGATACAGCTGCACAGAAGAGAGAGGAGCATCTTAGGAAGTTCAGAGAGCTTCATTTGAAAAGGGTAAGTTCTCCATTAGTGAGTTTGGTACCAGCTCTGCTGGGTCAGCTGTGGTTAGTACTTGGATGGGAGACTTCCTTGGAATACAAAGTCAGGAGGACAGAGGCAGGCTTTCAGCCACCTCTCTGAATATCCTCCAGGCCCCCAGCAGGGGTCAGTCACCAGAGGTCAATGTGACTTCCAGGTGCAGATCCACATACACACACACAGAGAGAGAATACCAAAAATAAATAAATAAAATAAAAGTATCAGATTTAACCTATAGTGTAAAGGGGTGAGTGGGGCCAGCATGTCTACACACAATACATCTACATTTACTCCAAGCTT